TTAGTTTTAGGGTCAGGTAGGTACCTGTGAGGTTAGCCTTAGGGTTTGAGGTCAGGGTTAGGCTGTAGAAATGTGATGGAAGTCAATGGAATGTCCCCAATTGGTTAGCTGTGCAAACTTGTGTGTGTGTGTGTGTGTGTGTGTGCCACTGAGTTAAAGGAGGAGCAACAGACACAGTCATGTTACCAACCACTTTAATGAGCGTCTTCCAATATGATAAATTATGTCACAGGTGTTACTTTAATGCATCGTTACAGAGAAAGACGTGACAGCCAAGAAGAGCAGCGTCGTCAGAGCTAAGCTTCGACTCCGCTGAGCATCATTATAGTACTCAGCTACCACCCTGTTGGGGTTTGGGCCTGTGAACCAGAGCTGCATGCAGCGGCCAGAGCCTTTGGTATAGGTGGTGTACATGTAAGACTGGGACCAGATTTGCTCACACATGGACTTGGGCGTTGGGAAAACTTCAGTCCACTTTCTGCATTTACTGTCTTTAGGGCACTTATTAGTACCTGAGAGAAAGACATGATAACAGAGACAAGTACTTAATAAAACAATATCGCTAGCAATACATAACCTATCAAGTGATGTTTTGGCATTAAGCTGCTATTTCCATGTATCTGACACTTTCCTGATACATGGGATTTACATATACTTACAAATCCGGTAAGTACCAGATACATACCTGGTACTTACAATGGGTACTTATCATAGAAATACTGGACACGTACCTAGTCCTTACTTTGTTCCGAGTGCATACCTTTAATCTTATTTACCTGGTTTGTATGTACCTGGTACTTACCTGGTATTTATCTGTTCCTTACCTTTACCTAGTATCTGGTCCTGGTAATATCAGTTTGCATTATCTATTGCTGTCAATCCTCTCATTATATTGCCCAGTTCCTATAGGTTCTAAGTACATAGTACAACACAGGTAAGTACCCGGACAGTAGCAGGTAAACCTAGTACTGTATATCCCAGTATGTGCTGGGGTATATTATGTAATTATGTAATGTTTCCGGTTAATTTCACAGCATCCAGTCACATCTAATAACTGCTCAGAACATAAAATATATTTACAGCTTAGAGTTTTGTCTTACCTGAGGTCCAGTCCCATCCTTTGTGCCAGTTTGTCTTGCAGGTTAAATCGTCTTTGCAGTCGTTCCACCATTGTTCACAGTCCTCCTTACAGAGAGGCACATCCAACATCCTCTCTTTTCGCCAGCTCTCGTCTGCCTAAAACGTGCACACAAATGTTTTGAGTCATCATTTCTCAGCAAAGGTGACATATTTGGATAAAAAATGCATTGTAATACCCCATAAAATGAGCTCATTCGTAATTAAACATTGAAAAATCATAAAGCTCTTTCATAAATCTGTTTTAAAACTGCAAGACGTGCTGACTCAGCAGCTCTTTCAGTTAAGCTCATATGCTGCCATCTAGTGTTATTGTCACATTCATGCACTATGTTTTTTTTTAGAGGATACGCACTAGTTGTATCCAAGGTCCCAGGTGTGGCTCGCATTCATAAAAGCAAGTGTCCTGGATGAAATGTTTCTTGCACTGCGGGCTCATTGCGCCACAGTGGTTCCAGTTGAAGTTGTACAGGTAGGAGTTGTCTTCGTGGGCCTCCTCGGTGGTGTTTGCGGTGCAACAGGCATTGTCACGCCAGGGGGTACACTGGAAAGAGAAAAGGGATCATCTGCATTTAAACCCACATGCATAAAAACTTTCAGATGTTACATCACGTTAAGCATTTGTTTGTTCTTTGGTGCTTAAAGGTCAAAGGAGGGCCATAAAGTCTGTTGGCAAAATAGTTCAAGAACCATCTGAAAAGTTTTAATATTGAAAGAAGCAAAAATGAATTATTTACAAATTCAGTTCAGTTCAAAATGGCTGCAATAGCAAACAAAAAATGACTATAACACAATCCCTTTTTACAGATTTTAAGATAAAATTTGATGTTGAAGGAATTGAACTCAGAAATGCAGACTGACAGGAATGCCAATAAAACGTAAAGGTTTCTGCAGCGTATGGATCTACTTATGTACGTAATTACAGTGTTGTCATACGTGTAATGATATTAAATTATGACGTGTTCTGCCACCTAAATGTTCCTGCCATTTCACAGTAAAGAGGTTGTGACAATGAAGATCTCTTCTCTCCTCGTTAATTTATGCAGTGTTACAAACACAAACGTTTTAATAAACAGGAACTAAAAAGCCTCAGAAACTAAACAAAACAAGATTTTAGGATGGGAGACATGGTGGAGATGCGGGCAGGGCCTGAAACAAAATATCACACCACAGATGAGGGGAAGACTGGGAGACTAGATGGACTGAGGCTGATGAGCAGTTTGGAGACCGGGGGCTTGATAGTAACTGGGAACAGGTAAAGGTGGAGGAGAACTAAACACAAGGATCACAAAACACAGAAAATAAAAAAATAAAACACTGAAGAAAAATTAATTTAAAAATAACAGTGTCCAAAAAACACAGATCCTGACACGTGACAAACTCTGAGTGTGGCATTCTTTTAAGAAAAGCTGTGGATGGTCGTATTTATCACCTGACTGTAGAGTTGTCCCTCGGGACCAGGCTCTGTTTTGTGGTGCTTTCCATCCATGCACATGTTGAGTTTGTCCAGAGACAGGACACCGCTGGGGAGGGCGAGCAGCCAGGCCAGGAACAGCAGCATGACCCTACACGGGATAGAAACTCAAATAAGTCTGAGGGGGTCAGCTTCATATAATATACAAATGGCTCTCATGCAATATTAGTGAAAAGGCTAAAAAATCAAAAAGAAAAAAATAAGTAGGTCCTCTGGGTTCTTCTTTAGTGAAACGTTTCGTCTCTCCTCCAAGAGACTTCTTCAGTCTGATGAGTTTCAGGTGAACTCAGCCTTATAAGCACTGCCTCCACATGGACAAACAGGTTAGTCACATGCAAAAGAGGGCCATCGCCTAACAATAGGCTTGATTAGCTCTATTGTTCATAGAGGGTCATGTGCCCCATCACCTGACTTATTGGTTTGGATGCTGTGGTTCTTAGGTGTTGGGTCATGTGTATGTAGTGAATGCAGGCAGGGCTCGACGTCCCCTTGTTTTAGTTTTTTCCCTCTTTGTGTTGGTTATCGTTGGGGCCCTGATTCACACCTTTTGCTCACGGGGCTGAGTCATACTTGCAATAACAGCGTTGTAGGAGGAGGACAACTGGACACGAAGGCCTCCACCTCTGTTTAATGGTGGACGGTTTTTCTTCACAAAGATGGCTTCCTTTACTCCTCTCTCAAACCAACGTTCCTCTCTATCAAGGATGAGAACATCTTCATCCCTGAAAGAGTGACCACTGGCCTGTAGATGAGTGTAAACTGCAGAGTCCTGACCCGACGAAGTATCTCGTCTGTGCTGGCTCATTCTTTTGAACAGTGGCTGTTTTGTTTCCCCAATGTTTGACTGATCACAGTCCTCCTGAAACTTAACAGCATATACTATATTGCTCTGTTTTTGTCAGGGAACTGGATCTTTGGGGTGAACTAATCTTTGTCGCAACGTGTTTTGGGGTTTGAAAGCCACTGGGACGTCATGTTTAGAGAATAAACGTCTCAGTTTCTCTGAAACTCCCTCCACAAATGGAATGATAACTGGTTTGGGTCTGGGTTTAGGGTCTTCATTTTCAGCTGGTTGTTGGCTGGAATCCTGTTCCAACAAAACAGCCACTGCAGCATGTCAAAAAAATAAAAAAATAAAAAAATAAATAAAAAACAGTAGAGATTATGTGATGTTCTGTGTTTTATCAGAAGAAAGAAACTTACATTAACTAACTGTTTTCTTTGTGACCCTTTTAAAAGTCTACTTGATATGTTGAATCAAACAACTGTCCAGTGGCTCAAGTCTTAGACCTTTGGAGTGCTGTTATTTTTTTTAACAGAACTGCTGATCCACACAAAGTTCATTTCATCCGGTCACATCGCAGAGAAATATAAAAGTGGAGTTGAATGACCAATCGTTACACATAATGAGGCGAGCAACTTGACAAACATGAGTAAGTATTAAAAAACACAGAGCAAAACCGATGCAAAGAGCCACAGTTGCTGCGAAACAGCTAAATGATTTAATAAAACTTTTACTTTTTAATCTTTAGGTTCATGCAGAGCTGTAACCTGAACTCAGTCTTAGGTTGTGGTTCAGCTGTGCCTCATTTTTATTAGAAAGCGTTGTGCACCAAACGCTGAGCGTAAGTCAGCTTCTGATGCTTCTGCATCTGTGGCTGATAAAAACTGAGACAAAACAAGAAATTCAGCCAAAGCAGACACAGTACATTGTTTTCACTCCACAATACATCTATTTGTTGCTACTGGTCACTTCTTCATTCATTTCCATGTAAAATAAGATAATATGTTAACACAAACAGCAAAGATCAAATCTGTCATAAGTTTAAAAAAGTCACAAAATACAGATACAGAAACAATCTTATCAAACAACCATTAAATCTTCTTCTTTGACTTATTAAAAAGATAACACCTAATTAATACAACGATCCAAACAAATCACATTTTATAAATTAGGCTAAAAAAACTAACCTGCCTTTATTCTGAAATCCTTCTGTTGAAATGAACTTTACCTTGTTAAATCCTCAGATGATTCAGTGAAGGAACAAATCTGTGTCTCCTGTTAACGTCTCACACACTTCCCAAGACCAATCAGGCGTTACAGAACACACATACACACACGTGTGTGAGAAAAGTGTGACTGAGCACAAGGTTGGCCCTGACTTATCTAAAATACCAAGAACCTGCACCTGACACTAACACACTGGTTTCCAAAGTCCAAAGTCTGGGTCACACATGTACTTGTATTTGTTGCCTTATTAGAAGCGTTGCTGGTATTCACACCTATCTTATCAAGACCAGTGGTCCTTATGGGGACCAAAGACCGGTCCTAATAGGATGGAACTCTATTTTTGGGTTAGGTGAAGGCGTTATGTTAAGGGTTGGGTACGTACTGGGGGGCTAGGGTTTGGGTAAGGGGTCAGGTTTATTGAAATAGATGGAAATGAATGGAAGTTAATGAACAGTCCAAATAAAGACAGAAATACAAACTTTTATGTGCGAGTGTGTGTGAAAAAATGTAACGAATGTACTTGTGCATTTTTATTTTATGACACCTTACTGATTGGACACTTTGTCTCAGTTCAAGGTTTTTACACACACACACACACACACACATGCACACCACAGAAAGTGTAATTGCCAATCTTGAGGCCTTGCAGATCACATGAAATGAGCCGCTCAACATTGCTCATTACTGTGATTTCATTTTTTATTCCTCTCCCATCATAAGTATGATTCATTAAGTGAGTTGTGAATTCTCATAAATACAAAGGGAGTAAGAGCTTAACGTGCAGAGGGAGGGTGAGAGTCAGCCAGGGAGGTGTGTGTGTATTACCCAACAACCCCAGAAGAGCTGAGTATTAATAACCACAGAGGCAACATGTTTCTGGTTGTGTATGTGTATGAGTTAACTGTGTCTGGTTTTACAATATGTCTGCAGACAAAGAGCTGGAAAGTCTAAAGCAAATATTTCATCACAATAAAACTACTCCATTTAACAAATTACATGGCTTTGGATTGTTTTGTGTTCCTTACCTCTTGTTGTCTCTGGTCAGGGTTAACGTATTAAAGTCACACCAACAAACTAGCCCTGCTCCACAGAAACACCACCAAACATGTACATATTGTAACACACACACAGAAAACCTGTGAGAAAGCATGAGTCTGACTACGACAAAAACATATAGAAGTTAGACTTTTTTTGCTTTTGAATATTCTGCATGCCACCGTTTAAAGCAGAATTATTATTATTGTCATTCATGTAATGTTTTCAGATCCTCTGGTTGCAACACAATCCTAATATAAGCTTTCCGCTCTAAAATTACTTTTGAGACCCGACTAAGATATTTTAATGAAGCATTGAAAAAAACATACACAACAAATGTTGACTAAGTTAAAGAGAAATTTAATTTACAACTTTAAAAAAAATTCTTAAGTTCGATTACTTCCCCATATTCTCCAGCAGCTGTCAAGATTTAGTTTTTTTAAATATGTCAGATTGAAGACTGACAGCCTCTCTGCAAATATTTCAAATATAATTTGACAACTATTTAATAANATGGGAAATTTCAGGGTTACGTGTACATTTAATCATCCTGTTTCATCCTGAATCTCCGGTTGCACTCTAAAAACCTTCATTTGGTCCACAGTTAGTAAAACTTTCCACTCAAGCAGCAATACACCAGCTCAGATAAACACAGCGGCAGCCTAAAACACACACAGAACAAGATCGTGATGTCACTTCCTGCCACACCTATAAACATCCACCAGGTGTGTAAACATGTATGTGCGCAAGAAATGTCAGTTGATTATATATTAAAATTTCCTGCCATATTTTGTGTGATTATATATCCAAAAGACATGCCATACTCTTTAGTGGCCATGGGCGGGGCCACCAAAACAAAACCAGAAACAGAATTTCAGTAGATTTGTTGTGTTGTCATAAGTCAACCTAACCTTTCTCATAAAGTATATCATTTTTTAAAATTAAAATATTTACAGTTAATATTGAGAAAAGTGCTGTCACTATTGAATTTATCTCTTAAATTCATATTCATTAATTTAAATTGGTATGCCTATAAATGTGTTAAGCTAAAGGGAGCCAGTGGGGTGGCGGGAAAGCAATTTTAAGAGGTGGCTACTGCCCCCTTTGGTCCACACTTGGTGGCACTCCTGATCAATACAACAACCACCCAGAACATCCTCTTAAACTGCATCTTGGTGGGTTTTGCAGATAAAAAAAGGATCTCTAGTTGTCTGCTCCCTGGAAGAACTCACTACCTCACCTCACATCAGCAGAACAAAAAGCTCTCTCATCCCAGCCGACATCTCTTCCACCAAACTGAATGACAGCTTTTTTTCACAGATATCAGTTTACTGCTGCTGATTCGCTGCTAGTTATTTGACATATGTTATGCTTTATGTGTTTTTATGTGAAATACATCAATTGAATCTATTTTACAGTTTCACCATGTCAGCACAGGCTTTCTGGTTATCTGAAGGAGGATGTTGTCAGGTTCTGCCAGGATTTTACAGCATTTCTTGTTGTTTCTTTTGGACCATCTGCCTTCTTCTCTGTGATTAATTTAGATTTAAATGTTTAATTTAGAGAGGTGTTCTTAACTTGTTTGATGTCTCTGGGAACATCCTAATCTATGAAGTAAAATCTATTATTTTTAAACAAAGACTTTTCTTGCATCTTATATTGCCATCTGTCACTACAAGCAATTTGAAGTTTAAATGCAAATGTCTCTTTTAATACAAACGTGGACTTCTAGGAGCATTCAGTGGTTTACAGTATATTCAGGGCTACTGAGCTCAGTGAGCAGTTGATGGTGAAGGAGCGCCCTCTTTTGGTTGCTGTGTCGACCTACAACTACCACCTCATCAGTTGGATCGATCTGCTTCCTCAAGATTTGCTTGTTTAAATATATTTTTGTTCAAGGGTGCATGTAAATGAAATTAAGAAGCATTCAAATTGTTGAATATGGATACAACCAGTGAAAAGTTTGAGGAGGAACTGTAAAATTGTTTTTAAAAATAAGTAAATGTGACAAAAATAAAACATTGTATAGGTCTTCTGGACGGGTTCTTCTCTAATGAAACGTTTCGTCTCTCCTCCAAGAGACTTCTTCAGTCTGAGAGTTTCAGGCAAAATTCAGG